GGGGGGGGGGGGTATTAATATGTTCTTATGCACAGTAGAATTGTAAATGGGCTGATTTTTAATGTTAAGCTCACACTGTGCCGGAACAACATAGGAGGAACTGCTGTTTTTTCTTTCCTCACCCTTACTATCTTCATTTTTCTGTACTTCCTACGTTTGTTTGTCACTCTCTTGCGAAAGGCTTTTTCCGGGGTGCTTCGACCGTCGAAGCAGGCTTTGTGTTGTTGGGGCTAGAGAGGGGAACAGAGTTAGCCTGATTCTCCGTTTGGATTTCTTTGTTGACATCTACCCCTAGGCGCTCATATGACCTTATGCAGTTGCAAGCACCGTAAAACTTAGTAAAACAAACTGAAAACTATCAAAGGCACATAACAAAAACTAAAAAGTTTCAATATACATGGCCAATGGCGTCATCATTAGAGCACACTTTGCTTATATATGAGCACAGCTGTATCTCCTATTACGATAAACATCGATGGTTCGCTGTCTGTGTGAATAAATCATGAATGGTTAAGGTTACAATTGTCTGTCTCAAAACTGAAAATAAGTGATGACTATGCTCGGTCTTCAATTCAAATGGCCATGGAGTCACGGGTTGTATAAACAAGGATCTCACCTCCACCACTCTTGTAGCACAGGTAGGGAAACCTCCAGATGTTGCCCAGCCCTACGGCATAACCAATGCAGGTGAGAATGAAGTCCAGCTTCCCTCCCCAGCCACCTCGGGCTGCGGCGTCCTCCTCAATCTTCATCTTGGCGATGCTGCCTCCGGACGAAGAAGAACTGTCCACACTATCACGGCGCTTGTCCATGCTCTGTGGGGAACAAAGAGAAAGATTTATAAATATTTATAAATATAATTATCAACTGAAGAAAAATTCATGCTATTTTCTTGAATAGTTATTTGTTTGCTTCCAGGTTATAAAAATTCAACGTACCCACACACTTAGGGTAAGCTCAGTCCACTCTGATTCAACAAAAATAATGAATACTTTGTTTTCCCTTTTTGATCATTTCTCCACTTTATTTTAGCACATGACCATTTCTAATACACCAAACCAGGCAGACAGGCAGATTTGACTGTTTGCCTTGTTTCTGCAAATGCCGAATGATTTCATGTGAGTGGCTTGTGTATAAATAAAGTATATAAAATGGGTTGTTGACAATAATTAGTTTTCGCACATAACCGTACCCTGGAAACGTAGCACTTTGCTTTTATAGAGAATAAACTCTCAGCAATGTAAGTAAGAATTTAACAAAACATATCGCATCGTCAAAAGTAAAACAAAGAAACTATTCAATCCTCATCAGTCACTGAACATTCTGATTGAAATAAAGGAGCAACGAAAAGAAACGGACTAAACTTGCATGATGGCTTACCAACATTACATGCTCCGACAATTTGTCAGTTAATGAAAAAGAAATCAATAGGGGGCTTCAGCCAAGAAAAGTGCAAAATCAAGAGGTAAAAGAAAAAGGACGAGAAAATATCATCATCGCCCAAGATGTAGTAATGCTGCACATAATGTGGAAAACAATGCTTTCAAAAATAATACTGCTTAGTTGCATAGAACAGGAGAAAGCGCGATGCATGCAAACCAGACGCCGCATGCGTGGAAAACTACCGGTCCAACACGAGCGGATAGTCTGGGTTTGAGTTCCTTACGTAACATCCACTCATTGCGCGGCTCCTGGGTGCATTCAGTTTCCCAACCCCCTCGGCCTTCTTTTCTTTTTGCCTTTCTTTCCGACCTCCACAATGACGTCGTTAGTATGAACAGGTTTAATTATTGTGTCTACTGTGTTGTTGAATCAATTCCAGAGTAATACGGAGACAATATAATACTAATTTAGATCGAAGAAATAGCCAAACAGAGTAACCTGTTAATATAGACAGAGTATTAATATCAGATCGGTGGGAAAGTGTACGATCCGTTAGCATCCAACAGCCAACCTTGGTTAGCCGTTGGGCATAATATTGTAGTAGGCCTTGAAGAAACCAGAGTACTCAAAATAAAGAAAACGGGGGTGGGGGGGTGTTTGTTTGTTTTGTTTACTTTGTTTGTTGTTTTATCAGGGTTTGGGATTTTTGTGGGGTTTTTTGTTGTTGCTTTTTTGTTGTTTAAGAGGTTGGGTTTATTTAGGTTTAATTAGGGGAAGGTGTGCAGTAGAAAGCACTTTAAAAACCTGTCGTTTGATACGTTAATTTAGTCGTATTCGCTGTTTCGCTCTCCACGAACAGACTTGGTAAAGCGAAGTTTCGAGTTGGTTTTTATTTTCCTTTTTCAAACCCTGAAGACGTACAAGGAACGTAACGCGCTGGAGAGCACACACACACACACACACACACACACACACACACACACACACACACACACACACACACAAACACACACAGTGTTATTGGGAGGGAGGGGGGGTAAAAACCATCTATTTATTTCTTTTTTCTAGAGATGCTACACGACCAGCGAATTCCACTAATCGTGACCTTTTAGCCAACGGTCAATCTTGTGGCTCGTCGGTTTGGTGACTCGATCACACAAAAATATTTCCGATGAGCGGCAAAGGAAACCACTCACATGCGCAAGTTGTAATAACTAAGTTGTAGGCTACAGCGTAAAATAAACAGATACAAAGTACATGATCGAAACGGGCACAACAGGTGTAAGACTTCACACGGTTCACATGGGTTACACTTACTCTATTTAGATCAATACACAAGACATAGAAATGCAAGAAAAAAGACCAACTTCAAAGATACGATGACACGACATACGCTATGATAACTAAACAAAAAAAGGCCCGCAAACCTCAGGATGTGAGTAATTAACTAAAAAAAAAAAAGCTATAAAATCCAGAGACAATTAAGGAGAAAAGATTACCCACGGTTCAATACACAGGAAATCGGGCAGACAGTTGTGACAGAGAAGATAGTTTCCACTGTTTAAAATTTGTTCGCGGAGCAAGACAGTGACAGGGACCAAAAACACTTTCCTGCCATGTCATGAAAGAAGATAACAGGAGAAAGTTATAAATAAAGAACAAAGCTTCCTATCTTGAAAATAGGCCCATTTCAAACCACAGCCCCCCCCCCCCAAAAAAAAAAAAAAACTGAATACGAAACTGGGCATGGTCTAGATTAAAAAACAGAAGATTCTTGTTCCAAACTCTCTGGTAACTATCTATATATCCAACGACTCATTCTACCTATATTCTTGTTTTCTTGTACAGGCTACTGAGCCTAAAGTGCGTCCTATAAAATGCTCTGTTGGGGGGGTGAAGTCCTTAAACTAAGTAAGGTAAGGAGCAGCTTTTAGCACATTAGAAAAGGTCAACCCCAGCGGAACTGTCCAGATGTCCAGTTTTTCTTTCACTCTGGAAGCCCGGGTATTCAGTGTCCAGTATACGTTTCCAATATCACGGCATAGACCTAAACTGAAAACGAACAGACACAGCCAGTAATCCACATGTGCACCCATTTAACTTCTGACATGCTTCATGGCTCTATTTTCTTCAGCAATGGTAGATCTGTACCGGTATACGTTTAGGAATAAAAGTGTTAGACGGATGAAAACATGCAACTTACGAATCTCTCCCTCTCCGCTCACGATTGCAAAAATCGATGACGAAACTCTCCACTCAGGCAACCTCAAATAATATACAATTGTCAAGTCCCGTATACTCTTGAAGCTTTGCGTTGACTCAAAGAAAAGAAATCAACGATGTTGCTGGTAACGTCTTAAAAGATGATGAACGTCTCCGTCTGTTGATGGGGTTTTTTTTCTCAGGCTCAAAAGCCTAAAAATTGTTGTTTCAACGATGAGGCCACAAAAATATCTGTACACCAAATGTTCGCTAGTGTTGTGTGAATGTGGTCTCCAGAAAGAAAAAAATAAATCGTAGCTCAGCTACTGTTACTATCGAGTTTAAAATCTCCGAGGATAAACCCAGTTCCAGAGCCAACCTACTTGTTGCTAGACGTTGTGATACTGTATGATACTGAAGTGCAACACCCGAGCCAGCCAAATTTATAGCGCGGGGCGGCGAGCGTGGAACGAGGACAAAGATCTCGTGGTAGGAGGGGGGAAGCTTTCTGTCCGTGAGGTATCTTCCCGGGATGAGCCAAAAGTCACGGAAAGCAGAAGCGTGCTAAATGTTGCTTGGCTACATTCTGTGATCGATTGGTTTCGGTTCTGCTAGTTCCAAACCTCGGCGTTTCATTGGTTTGAGCAATGGGCTCCCATGTGACAGTCATTTTGACCTCGCCCCGTTATGACAATGCAACTCCATGACACCGCTGCAGAATTATCCTCAACAACACGCTGAAGACATTGTGTTACATATATTATATATAGCTACCAGGAGTCGATAGGAATCTGAAGTTCGTTCCTGAGTGCAAAATTATACTGCATAAAAAAGGGTATTTCAGAACATGGAAGTCTGAGTATGACTTTTGCATATATATATTATATATTAAATTGTAACAAATGTCATGTCCTGCTTACTACCCTGTTCATTTGTCAATGTGCCGGATTAGACAAATAAATGTCAACGTAAGCATTCTGAAGAATCTTGGTGAAATGGTTACGCAGTACAAAGAAAGACAAGTTTGCATCTCACTGCGACAATAAAGTGCATAAAAATTGGCATCACGCTGCAGACAAGAATGATGCATATTTGTAAACAGAGGACAGTAAAGAAAATTAATTTAGAAACATCTACATACACTACCATATCAAAACAAAACACACAGACATACACAAACACACACACACACACACACATACACACACACAAACACACACAAACACACTAGT